TCAGAGTGTTCCATCTCATTTCCCTTTGGGGTTGCTGTAGGTGATCTGGAAGTCTGGTTTTGAGACTTATTTATGTGTTTTCTCATTTGGACTGGAGGGCGAGATGTGTTGTTGTCGACCTCGCGGATCACCTCCTCTGAGCTGGGAGAGGTGGGACAGGGGCTGGGAGCGGCAGTAGGGATGGTGGCCTGGAAGCCCCTTCCTCTGGGCCAGGAGCGGTGAGACAGAAGGTGGCCCAAAAGCCCTTTCCTCTGGGCTGGAAGCAGCGGGAGGGATGGTGGCCTGGAAGCCCCTTCCTCTGGGCCAAGAGCAGTGGGACAGAAGGCATCCCAAAAGCCTTTTCCTCTGTGCTGGGAGCAGCGGGAGGGATGGTGGCCAGGAAGCCCCTTCCTCTGGACCAGGAGCAGTGGGACAGCAGCTCAGAAGCTCCTTCCTCTGGGCCGGGAGCGGCGGGATCAACATCATATTAAATTGGGAAAAACTGAAAGTCTTCCTTCTAAAATTAGGAATGAGACAAGGATGTCAATTGTCACCACTCCTGTTCAATACTGTCCTCAAAATACTAGCCAGAGCAAATAGGTAAGAGAAAGAAACAAAATAGATATATAAAGGAAGGGATGAATTAAAAATATCATTATTTGCAGATAAAATATTCCTTTATTTACAAGACCCCAAAAAACACCACAAAAATATTCCAATAACCAAATTCATCTGTGTAGCAGAATACAAACACACACACACACAGAAATAAATAGCATTCCTATACACTAATAATGAACTCAATGAGAAAAATATTAGGTAAGCAGTACCACTCATAATAGCATCAAGAAAAAATTAAATATATGGGTATTATCCTAAGAAAGGCAGTGAAAGACATTTACAATAAAAATTAAATCACTCTGAAAAAGAAAACTGGGGAGGACATTAGAAAGGAAAAGATATCCCCTATTCCTAGATAGGCAGAACCAATTAGATAGATGACAGACAGACAGACTGATTGATTTAATACAACCACCCCCCCAAATATCAATGTCATTTCTCATAGATGTAGAGAAAAACAATCTTAAAGTTTATATGGAACCAGGAAAAACCCAGAACAGCAAATGTAAACCTGGATTACAAAAGCAAAACAGAATTCTACAAAAAAATTAAGGATTTTATATCCCCAATACTTCTCAAGCACTTCAAAGAAATCCCAAACTCATTTATAGAAGCCAATAGCACCCTGATCACAAAACCAGATAAAGACCCAACTGAAAAAGAGAACTATAGGCCAATCTTCTTAATGAACTCAGATGTAAAAATTCTCAACAAGATATTAGCAAATAGAATGCAGTGCATTATCAAAATATCATATATCATGATCAAGTACCTTTCATCCCAGAGATACAAGGATGGTTTAACATATGTAAGTCAATAAATGTAATACGTCACATAAACAGAAACAAGGTCAAAAACCATATAATCATATCAGTAGATCCAGAATAAGCTTGCAACAAAATCCAACACTCATTCATGATAAAAAAAATCAACAACCCTGAAGAAAACAGGTATAGAAGGAGCAAACCTGAATATGATAAAAGCTATATATGACAAACCAATTGCCAGCATCATACTAAATAAAGAAAACCTAAAATTACTCCCTCTAAAATCAGGAACAAGACAAGGATTTCAATATCACCTCTTCTATTCAACATAATACTTGAAATATTGGCCAGAGCATGGTATTGGCCATCACAAAAATGCAAATTAAAACTACACTGACATACTATCTTACCCCTCAAAGAATAGCTATCATTAAAAAATCTAATAATAACAAATCCTGACAAGGATGTGGGGAAAAAGAAATTTTATTACATTGTTCATGGGAATGTAAACTAGTTCAACCACTATGGAAATCAGTGTGGAGATTCCTCAAAAAACTAAAAATAAAAATTCCATTTGATCTATCTATCCCACTCTTAATATTATGGCGAAAGAGGTATAATCAACACACTATAGGGATACATGCATACTCATGTTTATAGCAGCACAATTTATAATAGCTAGATCCTGGATAAAGCATATATGTTCATAATAAGATGAATGGATAAGGACAACGTGATATTTATACACAGTGGAATTCTATTTTTCATAATAAGATGAATGGATAAGGAAAACGTATTTATGAACAGTGAAAAAGTACTTTGTCATAAAGAAAGATAAACCTGAGGCATTTGTAGGTACATGAGTGCAACTTGAGAACATAATGTTAAGTGAAATAAGTCAGATAAACAAGTTTAAATACTACATGGCTCCTATTATATGAGCAACTCAAGAAAAAAATATATATACACAGATAAATAGCAAAATAGAAGGTAAATAAAGAGGAAGTTGGGAGAAGTTAAAAAAATTTCCTGAATTATCTATTCCGTTGTTTCAAAAATATTATAATATATATGGTAATTTGTTTCATTTATACTACTATTTCTCAGTTCATTGAAAAAAAAGTCTTCTGCTATCATCTGTTTTATTGGTATGAGACAATCTTTTTTTTCTGTCTTGTACTCTGAGTAACTACTTTGAAGATAATGATACATAGTGTACTAGCTATTGTTCTCTTATTATATTGTTATGAAATTTTGTTTTTCAATAAAATAAAAATTATAAAAAATAACAGAAACAATCAAAAAGAAAAAAAAGCTTTAAGTACTTACAGGAAGGGTCATACTTTAACAAAACTCATTGGAATACTGTGAGACTATAAATTATCTAATACTTATTACTGTACATTTTCATCAAAAGAAACATTGATATCATTGCAAAGTAAGTAGATTGGATGATTAAAACATATACATCACATTTTCTTCCTATTACATACCTTCCTTATGTCTCTTGCTTATAAATTAACATTAACCCTAACTACTCTTCATTCCTCAGTTTAAATCTCTAAAATTTATATGCAGAATTCAAATTAAAAGGCTAAATATAAAACAACTTGGCATCATTATTCCCACAATTGACCTTAATGTGTATAGAGGTAAAGGTAGGGTTTTTCTATACTTTTTTCCATTTCCTTTTCTCACCTCTGACAAAACAGATATAATTTATTGATGAAAATGAAAGGAATACTTAAATTCTAATTAGCTTCTCAATTAAAAGTTATTTTATTGTGAAATACAAATTTATATATTATAAAAAAACCACAAATTATTTGTTCTCCTTTCCTTTATCATTTTTCCTGCTTTCAATCTCTTGCAAACCTACATTGTTTCAGTTATGCATAAACAGCCTATACAAAAACAGAATCAACCTACAAATAAGACTCAAAACTTTAATTTTGACCTATTTACTTCAGTTCTTAATATTAAAGCTTGATATTCTATTTTCATGTTTATCCACTGTACTCAGAATTTGAGAGAAACTTACCTTTAAAAGGTACCAGTTCAAAATTCTCTTTAAAGATCACATCTTCATTTTATTTTGTTCTAGTATTCTGTTTCCTGATAATATATAATTAACTATATACTGAAAACACATATAACCTTTTAAGATTGGCCCACTTAACATAAGTGGCCTTGAGATTCATCCAAATTGTTGTGAGCATGAGCAGTTCTTTCCTTTACATTGCTGAGTAGTATTCCATTCTGTGGTGGTATCTGTTTATCCATTCACACTTTGAAGGACATTTGTGTCATTTCCAATCTTGGGGCATTAAAAATAAAGCTATTATGAAGATTCATGGATAGGTTTTTGTGTGAAATAAGTTTATATTTCTCTACGATAAATGCTTAGGAGTGACTACTGTATGGTTCTACAACAGTATTTTATATAACACTCAAAATAACAAAAATATAGAGACAAATAACACATAAGTGTTTGCCAAGAGTCAGGGAAGGGGAAGGGAAGGTGTCACTATATTTCAAATGTGAAGATTATTTATGCTAACTCCTATAGTCTAGACTGCAATCAAAATTATTTGTTTTTAACCTAGAAAACCAAATAGCATTTTGAATAGAATAGTGTCTCTTAAATACATAACTTTGAAATATTTTAATTAGAATACAATAAAAACTATTTCACCTTTAAATTAACTTAAGTTCATTAAAAATCAAAATGCGAATCAAATCACGAAAGAAAAACGAAAATAGGTTTAGATAAATGTACTTTATATTAAAATAGTGAAGATGTCAAGCAATAGGTCTAAGAATGCATAAAAAAATTTGCATACCTGTTAACTTGATATGTCCTATTTCATCAAGCAAAATGCTGTAAATCAAAATTCACGTTCAGCAAGATGGAAAAGTTTATATAAAATATTTACATAAGTCTTCATAAATTTAAAAAGATGACTATTTGCTATATTAGAAAATTTTAAATGATAAACTTAAAATCAAAGTGTGTATTATGAAGATTGCATTTTAAAAATAAGTTTTAGTTAATTATAAATTCAATTTACAGTATCCGATAATCTTTAAAAAACTTAACCCAATACGCTAAAATGTAATTCTAGTTCTGCAAATATAGACAACAGGATTAAATAAGGAAAATAGAGCTTTACTTTTCTGGCTTCAGGTCTCTATATACAATTCCTAGTTGATGCAGATGATCCAAAGCAAGGGCCAGTTCTGCAAGGTAAAATTTCACATCTTCTTCTGTAAACAGAACCTAGAATAAAATAATAATTTAATCTTTAAATAAATATTTAATCTTTCTTTCAGTACCGATTATTTTTAAGATGTATTTCTTTTAAAAGCAGTAATACAAAACTGGGAAAATAATAGGAAAATAAGTGTAGTTAATTTTGATTTGATTGGCATAATCACTGGGAATGGCAGAGATTTCTATATACTGTAGATGAAAGTAACTTTAAGAATTTTCTCTTCAATATTATCATTTCATGTAAAAGTTTTTGAAACATATGTTTGTATATCTTCTTAAATGTACTGCAGAGAGAATTAATCTTTTTAATGATACGGCATCATAACACCCATATTAATTTTAGCACTCTGCTTTATTTAACAAAGTAATGTCCTCTGAAAATCTGAAGTACATAGGATAGTTGTTTTAACACTAGTCATTCCATTATTTCTACAATGTTTTCCATTAATAATAAAGTTTGAGTTTAATGGCATTGTTTTCCTCCTCTTCCTCCTCGTCCTTTTTTTGGGCAGTACTACAAATTGAACCCAGGGCCTTACAGTATACTACACAGACAGCCCTTCTTATTTTTCATTTTGAGACAGAGTCTCATTAAGTTGCCTAGGCTGCCTCAAACTTGTCATCCTCCTGCCTCAGCCTCTCAAGTAGCTGGGATTGCAGGTATGCACTGCTGCCCCTGTCTCTCCATTTTTCTGTGTCTGATAATAGAGTTGCTATGACAAAGTGAAAAGAGTACTATAATTGAAATCAGATTTAGTATATAACAATAGACATCATTTTGACTTCTGGGACTTGTTCTCTAAATCTGTAAAATGAGAGTATCTGTTAAATCTACCTAACAAGGTTATTTTGAGAATAATTTATATTGAAAAAGGAAAGTCTTGCAAACTGTAAAATGCTAAGCAACCATAAAGTATTATTGTTACAGCCTTACATCTACTTTCTTTTACAAATGAATTAATTTACACACAAAATTGGGAACTACTTAACCATTAGCTGTAATTTTTAGAGTTTATCAATGGCTTGGGATGGATAAAAAAATGTCTGGTTATGGATAATTTTCATCAAAAATATCTGAATTATTAGGAAAGCTCAAACTTGAACAAAGTACAATAAAGTCTCACAACCAGCTTGCCCATTTAGAATTAAAGTTACTGCATTTCACAGTACAGATTCTGGCTACTAGTAAAATTGCAGAGAACCAGCAGCTAAAGATAATTTTTGATATCCCATCTACTCTTTAAAATGATCAATACCAAAACAAATATTTTTCATTATCTAAATTTCGCAAGCATTAATTTCAATACAATAATGACAAAAATATCACTACACTTGTGCTTTTATTAAGAATAAAATACTTGCTATTTATTTAACTTCTGGACAAAGATAATTAAAATGTTCATGGAAACCTAACTTAAGAGAAAACCCTAAATAAAAAATATTTTCCAACTTTAAAGGAAGAAACATTGCACCGCCTATGTCATAATTCATATCAACCTATTATCCTGTCAAGAAATTGCCTTGGTCAAAAACCTCATAATGGATACAAATAAGAAAATTACTAAGAAGTAATTATGTACCAGGTGCAATTAATTATGTTCCAATTATTGCACATTCATTATGCTATTACAATTTTCCTATGAGGTAAATATATTCAACATCTTTTGTATGGAGAAAGAGCCTCACAGTGCTTAACTTTCCCACAATAACATAGCTAGTAAGAATGAAGCTCTGAATTTGAACTTAGGGATTCTCGATCCTACAAGGGACCTTTTCCCCAGAAGCCACTTCTATCACATACTGTACCACAAGTTTTCTTCCTAAGTTTTAGATTCACTACCAATAATGTTTTCCTATTTGGTGAACTGTTCCACTCATGAATTCCTCTCCAAAATGAAAATTATCCAAAATTGCAGTATTAAAAAGAAGCACTCTTAATATTTTCTTGCATATGTAGGTGTGAATATGTATGTTAACACACTGGTCTTCTTTATTATTCATGTATTATTATATCATAAACATTCTCATATATCTCTCAAACTTATTTATAGACTTTTCAATAGCAATACAATATTAACCATACCAATTTACCATGATTTACCTAATGTTACCTTTTGGACAATTAGGTTATTTCCAATTTTCACTATTTTAAATGACTCTGCAATATGTATGTATCTTTATTAATATTTATTATTATTTTCCCAAAATGAATTCCTAAGAAATAAAACAGGAAATACTGGGTCAAGAAGAAAAATTGTCCAAATTCCTACAATACACAAAAATTATTTTCCAAAAAGGTTACAATAGCTTCCACTCCCATCAGCAGTTTGTGAAGTCATCTGTCTTGCCACCTCTATGACAATTCCAAATATAGCCTTTAAAAATCTTTTCAATTTTGATCTACAACTGGCATCAAGTTTAACTTTTTATGCTTTAATTTTTTCACATTTAGTTGTCCTATTTTTCAAGAGTTAACAGTAATGTTTTTGCCTATTTTTCATTAACTTACTGTTTGATCAATTGCTACAAGCTTCTTAAATATTTAAAATGTCATTGCTCCATCATATTAGCCGCAAATATTTTCCAACTTCATGCTGGTTTTTTATATTCAATAGTTCTTATTTGGCGGGGGGGCGGGGGGGGCTAACCAGGGATCAAACTCAGAACCTTGCGCTTGCTAGGCAGGTGCGGTGCTGCTGGGCTAAATTCCCAGCCCCTGATAGTTCTTACTTTTATGTAGTCAAACTTATGTATGTTTTTCCCTCACTACTTTAATGGTTAATAATACCTTCTCAATTCATGATCAAGTAAATATTTAAGTGCACCTTCTTTTAGGATATAGTAATTATTTTCCAGACTTAGTTCTTTAATATAAGTAAATTTATTTTTGTATGTGGCAGAGATGGTATTTTCAAATAATTGTTGAAATATCTAACCAATTTCTCAAATACTATTTACTGAACAATCAATCTCTTTGCCACTAATTGATAATTCTTCCTTTATCCACAATAATATGTCATATACAAAGGATATTATTGGACTATACAGTACATTTCTAATCTTGTATTAATATTATGATGTCTTGCTTATAGAAGCTTTATAAAATTATGTTTTCTCCCCCCACCTTTCTCTAATTATGTCTCACTATGTCGCCCAGGATGGCCTGGAAATCTTGGGTCTATACCATTCTCCTGCCTCAGATATCCAAGTAGATGAGATTCTAGATTCTAGATTCAAAGCTTGTTTTAAAACAAGAAGCAGGTCAAAGAAACAATATTCTCTAGACTTATCCAAACTTCTTAGTTCTTTTCATTTGCTTGCTTTTACAGATAAACTGTAAAATAATTCTGTCAATTTCAAACAAATAAAGATTTCTATGGTGGCATTGTTTGGAATTTTGAGATGTCAATAATTAACTTTAAAGGAATTGATAGCTTTATAATAATCATTCATTCACTGCACCATACTTTCTTGATATTAGCAAAGTAGAGCATAGCTAAGAGTTTTGTATATTTATGTGTGTAACTGTGCACTTTGGGAGAATGAAATTTGGGCTGGTAACTTTTCCTTTACTATATAAATAACAAACATGATAAAATTTTCTTAACACATACAAAAACTATATTTTTTAATTCTAAGGCATAAAGAATAAGTCTTCATTTTTAGTTATTTAACAACTTTTTAATATACACAAGTGAAGTATAACCAACAAATAACTACTTATAATAAGCTGCCTATAGAAGTAAACATTGAATCAATTTTTAAAGCCTGTTCAATGAATAATTTATTGTCTTTGGGAAATGCATTTAAAATGCTTGCTCTTACCTAATATTCCAGACTTAGGAATCAAAACTTACTGACTGCATCTCTGTGCTAGTATGGGTTTAGATAGTCCCACATCGAGAATGGAGGTCTGAAGAGTTTAAAAGAAAGTTAGAAATGACTACAAGTAAAATTTTTTCAAAAACATTCGTGACACTTCTATAGTCTAACACAAGAAATCATGAATGTTGGAGCCTTGTCATATTTTTGTGTCTCTATGCTTTGAGACTAGCTATTAACAAGTTTCTTAAATACCCTCCTTAGAAGGGGGTCTAGACAAACACTATCACATACTGAATTCTGTTCTACAATGAACAGTATACCAAGAAAACACTCCATGCTCATGCTTGGCATGTACTGCACTGGAGGTAGACAGATATAAGCCAGAGACCTTAGCCACTTAAGCACTGGCTAGCATCCCAGAAACACATTGTTCCTTGTTCACAAGTTCTAGGAATCAGTGATAGCTCTCCCACACTCAACATTGTGAATTCTGGAAGTGAGAGGTTGAACTACAATCATTCAATTAAAATGTTCCATTTCAAGACAAAATGAAGTAGACAAGGACAGGAGTTATTCTCCTGACTAAAACATCTAAAACACAGGCAGGACAAAATATATGAATGATATTTTTTAAGACATTGGACATCTGGCAACAAAAGACAGTGAATACTGAAAGATGAAGGAAAAACAAAGTATGCCCTACAACTGCCCTAGCTTACTATCATAAAAGAGTTTCCAAGTTGTAGTACAAAGAGGGCTAAGCCAGGTGGAGCATGGAATAATTTTTGAGCTGATGAATCAGAGTCAAGAGTCTCAGAGAAGGACAGAATTCACAGGATATAAGTATGAAGAAGAGAAAATTTCAGAGAGAAAGCCGGAGAATTATAGATGATCTCAAGTTTTCAGCAGAAAAATGCTCAGCATATATAAGGACACTATCTGGAATCAGGAAAAGAAAAAAGAAAAAACAAAACAAGGATTAGAGGAACCAATCAAAGGAACTCATGGTGGGCCAAGAATAGTTTCTTTTATCTGTAGCCATAGCAGAAAAGCTCATACACAGATCATCAAATAGAGTTATTAGAAAGGTTTTGTTTCAGTAGTAGAGCAAAATCAAACTTTAGTAAACTCTGTTCTGGTCCAGTCTGAAAACTGTAAAGACCCAAAAGGATCAAACTAGTTCCATGACCCAGAATAAAGCTCCATAAGATACACAGAAATAGAAAAATCTCCATTACCTAATAAGATAAATTTCACTATGTCTGCTGTACAATAAAAAAACTCCCAATCATGCATCAGAAGACACTATTTGAGCCAACAAGAACAACTCTAAAGGATTAAAAGAATTCACTAAACTCACAAAGGACCAGGACAGCTCAGTTCTCATCAGTGAGAGTTTAAAAATCTCATATTTTGAAGGATATTGGTTAGAGTATTAAGAAGGGCCATACTTTAATACCAGGGAAAAAGTAAACCTATACTAAATACTGTCTGAGAACCACATGACAAAGTTCAAAAGCAAACTGCAGGGCTGGGAGTGTAGCTTAGTACCAGAGTATTGGGATAGCATGTATAAGGCCCCAAGTTCAATACTCAACAATTCAAAAAACAAAACAAAAGAAAAAAAAAAACAAGATTCAAAATGACCACAGTGTTTCCAAGAAAATGACTGCTTTCTAGAACAAAACTAAACATTATTTACAGGGAAATAAAAAGTAGCATGCAAGAAATTAAATTCACAATATCTACCATCAAATGAAAATGATCATGCAATATGCTGTCACAGAAGCATAAAAGAAGTCATCTATCATTGACAATATTTGAACAATAAGCGTGGCTGTGTTCCAATAAAGTTTATTTTACAAATAAAAGCAATTAGGTTTCCTTAAGTATCACACATTAAAATGTAAAGACAAAAATAGGTTAAAATTAAAAAATGTGAGAAGATATATAAAGCTAATACTAAGTTTTTAAAAAGCTGGATTGACCATATTAATATCAAAGTAGACTTCAAAGTGAAAAGGGGATCCTACAAATAAAAGGGTCAATTTATCAAGAAAGAATAATAAAGATTTATGTACTAATTAACAGAAGATTGAAATGCATGAAGCAAAAAGTGATAGGAATTCAAGAAATACGCACATAATCATATTCAAAGCTGTCCACCTGTCTCAAAAATCTAAACGTGTGTACAAGTACTGTGTATCACTAAAAACATTTTAATTTATAAAAGAAAAATTAGGCAGAAAATGAGTAAGTATATGGTCAATTTAATACTGATATTAACAAACATGATTTTTTTTTTTTGTACCGGAGATCGAACTCGGGTCCTTGCACTTCCGCAGCAGGCAGTGAAACCACTGAGCTAAATCCCTGGCCCAACAAACATGATTTTATTAACATTTATAGAAATTTCCATCACCCAACAAAAGCAGAATATATATTCTTCTCAAATGCACATGCAATATTTACCAAGATATACCTTATTCTGATGCATAAAGCAAGCACAAGTAAATTCAAGGCAATTCAAGTCACAGAAAGTATGCTTTATGCCTACAATGGTATTAAATTAAAAATGAGTATTAGAAAGCTATCCAGAAAATGCCCAAATATCTGTAAATTAAATAACATACTTGAAAATACCCAAAGACTCAAAGAAAGGAAATTGGAAAGTATGGTGAGCTAACATGAAAAAAGGCCATGTAACAAAACTTGGTGACACTACAGGAGTGATTAGAAGGGAATCTGTAATACAACTTCCATTAGAAAAAAAATGGTTCAAATCCATAACCTAAACTTCCATCTTAAAAATTATACAAAGAAAAGCTAGTGAAAGACAGAATATGCAATAATAAAGATTAAAGCAGAAAATAATAAAATGGAGAACAGAAATACAATAGAGAAAATTTAATGAAACCAAACCTGGTTCTTAGAAGAAGAAAAAATAAAACTGATAAACCTCTAGCAAGGCTAAGCAGGACAAAAAAAAAAGATATAAATTACCACCATCAGAACTGAAAACAGTACATCACTAGTAATTTATAGGGAATGTTATGAACAACTTTAAGGCCTATAAATTTGGTAACTTTGATGAAATGGATAAATTCCTTAAAAGATATAAAATACGAAATTTCACTCAAAAAGAAAGAATAGCCCTAAGTCTATAATATAAATTGAATTTGTAGTTAAATACTTAATCATAGAGAAACCTCCAGTCTCAGATGGCTCTACTGGTGAATTGTTCCAATCATTTAAAGACAATATTGTTAAACTCTTTCAGAAAGTTGAAGAGGTAAAAACCCTATTCATCTTATAAAGCCAGAATTACTCTCATAACAGAAAGACAAAAATAATACAAGAAATTTATAGTCAAATATCCCTCATAGAAACAGATACAAAAATTCTTACCAAACATTTAGCAAATATCATCCAAAAATATTCAAAAAGGTTCATGACTAAGTGGGATTTTTCAATAAATGCAAGACTAAAGAAGAAAAAAGATATCTCAATAAATGCAGAAAACACATTTTAAAAAATTGAACACCCATTTTAAGAAAAAATTCTTAAAGTAGTAAGAGACGGAAACTTAACCTAAGAAAAAACATTTTAAAATATTATATTTAACTTCATAAGTTTTGGTGAAATTATGCTTCCACCTAAGATTGGGAACAAGGCAACTGCTTCCATCAATTCTATTCAACACTGTGCTAGAGTATTCAAACCAGTGTGATAAAGACAAATAAAAGAAATAAATGATGTTTATACTGGAAAAGAAAAATAAACACTTTATGAAATAGATAACAAATATAAAAGCCTTTAAAATCTACAGAAAAGCTGCTAGAAATAGTAAGTTAGTTTAGTTAGATTATGGAAAAGAAGCTCAATATAAGAAAAATCCATTTTTGTTTCATCCAATTTGAAACTGAAATTAAGAAATCAATTCTACTTACTACTTAATAGAATTTAAAAACAGGAACCACTTAGAGATTAATTTGACAAAAGATTGTGATTTATATGCTAAAAAGTCATTTCTGAGAAAAAATGAGTAAGTGCAAATAAATGGAGAGGAAACCCATATTTATGGATTGAAAGACTTTGTATTTTTAAAGTGTCAATCATCTGAAAATGGCCTACGGATTCAATGCAATCACAATCCAAATCTCACCAGGGTTTCTTTAGAAAGTGAAAAGTCCATTTTAAATTGAGAATGAAATACAAATGGCCTAGGAAAACCAAAACAATTTTTAAAAAGAAAAGAAGGCTCAAAAATTGCAATATCTGCAATCAAAATTTATTTTAAAAGTACAGTAATCAAGACAATGTGGTAACATGATATAGGTAGACAAATGGATCAATGAACAGGATAGAGTATCCAGAAACAGACCTTCATATATATGATCAATTGATTTTCAAAATAAATGCAAGGTAAGTCAATGAAGAAAGAATATCCTTATATCCAATTATGATGCTAGAAAAACTGGGTATCTCTATGAAAAGAAAAGACTTCAACACATACCTACAACCTTAACTCAAAATGGATAAGAAATCTAAATGTAAAACCTAAACTATTAAAACTCTAGAATATGTAGGAGAAAATCTTTACCTGGGATCAGGCAAATGTTCCTTAAATAGAACATTAAAAATATAATTAATAAATGGAAACAGACATAATCTAACTTCATCAAAATTAAGAACTTCTACTTCTCAAAAGATACCATGAAGAGATTGAAAAGACAAACCATAAACCAGAATAAAATATTTGCAAACAACATATATGATCAAAGACTTACATCCAAAATATTTGAGGAATTCTCAAAACTCTATAAGAAACAAACAATTCAATTAAAAACGGTCAAAAGGTTTCAACAGACACTTTATCAAAGAAGATAAATAGATAGCAAATAAATGCAGGAAAAGATGCTCAATGTCATTAGTCATTACTGTGATGAAATTCAGAACTGAAATGAGATACTAGCTCACGCTTATCAGCCAAAATTTAAAGACTGACCATACTAATTGAAGCAAATGAAACTCTTATATGCTGCTGTTGGGAATGTAAAAATTAGATAACCACTTTGGAAAACAGTTTGGCAGTGTCATTAAAAGTTAAAACATACACCTATTATATGACCCAGTCATTATATTCCTAATATTTACTCATGACAAATGAAAACATATGTCTATACAATCACTTGTATATGAATGTTCACAGCAGCTTTATTGGTAATATCCCAAAACTGCAACAACACAAACATTTATCAACAGATGAAAAGATAAACAAATCATGGTGTATCCACAAAATGGTAATATTATTTAGCAATAAAAATTAATGAACTATTGATACATACAACAACATGGATGGATCAAAATAATCATGCAGACTTAAGCTGGACAAAAAAGAATACACAGTGGTACCTCAGTTCACAAACTTCATCTGTTCTATGATTTTGGAAAAGATGGCCACATTTGTGTTAAGAGTGGGAAAGATGGCCATAGTTGTGTTTCTTACCTGATGCAGAATTTGCAAACAAAAATGAAATTTTGCCAAACACTTCTGTTTGCAAACCAAATTGTTTGCAAACAAAAGTGTTCATGAATGGAGTCACCACTGTGTATGTTTCCATTTACACAAACTCCTATTGAATGCAAACCAAATAGTGACAGAAAGCATATTCAGTAGAATCACAGTGGGAAGAAAGCATTACAAGGGCACATAAGAAAAGTGTTGGAAATAATGGATATGCTGATTATTTTTATTTAGGTTATGGATTCATAGGTATATATAAATATCAAAATTTATCAAATTGTATATTTAAATGTGTGTGGTTTATTGTATGTCAATTATACCTCAATAAAGCTATTTTTAAATTAATAAACACTACTCCAAGAGGCATTTAGGTAGCTTCAGTAGCCAAAGTCCTAGGCTTGCTCCTATCTACTTCATCCAGTTATTCATATTGTTCTTGTATCTAAGAGAATGAGTAGCACACTGAGATGGTCTAAATGACAAAGAAGACAGAAAGTACTATTCATTAGCACATTACTAAATACTATGAAATGAAACAAAAATATTTACCATTTAAAATTTCCATAGGAAAAATGGTTTCTATTTTCTTACTTTTGTTTCAATAAAATAGAGTAAAAATTTTATAGATACTCACCTCTTTGGATAACCTTGTGAAGACATCCCCTCCCCTGAGAAAATCCAGTATTAAATACAGCTTCCCTTCAGTCTGAAAGGCTAAGCAGAAATTATAATGCAGCAACAAAACAATCTTTAAATGTTTAAAAAAGCTTAATATACATTTTACTCTATATAAAATTTTTAGTTTATCTGTTTAAATTTTATCACTAAATACACTAAAGCAATTAAGTATGAACTCACATGTTCCATTATTGGATAGCATTATCTCAAAATTAAATCTGGTATTTAACCCAGTGTTAAAATAGCTATATATTCCTTCCCAGAACATAATCAACTTTGCATGTGGCTTTACAAAGAAACTCCTATCACTAATATTTTCCTGATTTTATGAAGCATCATGTTCTACTGCATTTGGCTGAACTTTTTCCTAACCATGTATTAAAAAGCTACTAATTCTGTAAATCTCAACAAAAGTGTCACTCCTCCTGTATTAAACTTTCCAGGATTTCTCTTTGTTCATCTTTACTTGCAGCATCCTTAATCCTATTCTCAACAAAACTATTGCTGCAACTATTTTGAGATCTCATTGTATTTTATTTATGCCTCTTTTACAGTACTCCATTTTTATTTGTACAATTAATTTATTTACACCTCTATGTTTCATATAGATTACAAAATTCATGAGGTCAGAGATTGTTTCACTTCTACAGCCCATTGCATTTCACAACACTATTTTGCACATGAGAGGTGTTACTGACTGATCCAATGTCATACTTGAAATTCAAAGACGTCCTAAGATACTAATACTGTTTTTCTATTAAGGTAACAAAAGTGAAAGAGTAATGGATGGGAACTTCTTGTGGGTTTTTTTCTAAAAATAACTGAGTAACTAATACATTAACAAAATTATACTGACAATAAAATCAATAACTACTACAATTTAAATGAAGGAAACTGAAAGTGACATAGTTCGCTATAAGTAATTTGATTTTTTTGTTGTTTATGAGTTGTTTTTTTGTTGTTTTTTTTTTGAGACAGGGTCTCACTTTGTACTTTAAGCTGGCCTTGAACTTTCTGTGTAGTCCAGGCTGGCCTTGAACTCCAGGTGATCCTCCTGCCTCAGCCTCCTGAGTGCTGGGATTATGTGCCACCATGCCCAGCTTGATTTTATCTATCTACTTATCTATCTTTTTGCTCCCTAGAGAAGCAACTCCTCCACATATTAACAATAGAGCTATGATTCAAATTCAGAAATATCTAACTCCAAACCTCAAGTTTTCTCCATTATTCCCACTGCTTCTTACTTAATATTCCTCTCCTCCTAAGTACAAAAAGTAGTTAAAATAAATGAATATAACTTAACTACATGGTCACCTTGAACAGAACCAGGAAATAATATTAATATGATTATTATAAGCAAACACGCAAAAGCCTTCCATAAGTTATTACAGTAGTTTATAGGCTAAGATAAATGGAGATACAGCCTGGTGGAGAAATACTATTTGAGCAAGTAAGTGGAAGACACTAGTATATTACCTTAGACAAGTTAATTAATTACCTTTAGACAATGACAAAAATAAAATTAAAAGCTAACTATTGAAATGTATTTCATAAAATACATTTCACATAGTTTAATACATTAAATAAGTGTATACTACTTATTTTTATTATAGTATTTCCTGAAAGGAAATCTTAATTCTCTAATTCCATAAATAAGAGGACTACATACCATAGTGCAGTTTGACAATAAATGGATGGTTTACTTCCACTAGTATATCCCTCTCCATCTTTGTCCGAACTCTATCTCGAACTAAAAATTACACAAGAGTTAATTATATAATACTTGTTTATATTTCCGTAAAGACTTGATCAATAATTTACCAATAAAAATATAAAAATATAAAATATAATTTCATAGTTGCCTAAATTTACATTCTATATATTCTTACATTATAATGACAATATTCTTAAAAAGTCAACAAATTCAGTTTAGATCTAGAGATGGGTTAAAGGTAAATAGGTTAATAGGTATTGGGCTAATGTGCTCTTATTATATATCAGTCTTTATTAGTTCAAATGAGTTTATTAATTAAAATTGAGTATAGTGATATTTTTATCACAGCCTAGAAGATAGTACATACATATGTATGGAGGTGGTTGTACTTTCTCTGTATAAAATATCAACACAGATCAAATGAAAAAACAAAAATTTTGAAAGCAAAGAGTACTGCTTAATAAAATTAAGTTCATGTTGAATTAAATAAAATATGTCACATTTCCTAGCATTAAATATTTACCTGGGCACACTAAATTAGAACATATGTCAATGTCAAATCCTAGAAGTACCACTCACTGACAAGAAATCTGTAACAATTATTAATGTTAAAAGGAAACTACATCGCTTCTCGGTCTTTTGGCTAAGATCAAGTGTACAAGGAAACTACATCTACTCACTTTATACAAGTAATGTATATCATTTCTAAAAATAGATTTTTTTCAAATTCTATTTTAGTAAACATTCGAATGTTGTACCTTTTAAAGAAGCTTTTTTTAACACCTTCATTGCATACAGCTGTCCAGCATCAGGCCCAGTCTTCTTTCTAACAAGAAAAACCTAATAGAGGAATTTAAAGAAAAATTTACGTTTTTATTCTCTCCCCTCCATCTCTCCCTCCCTGTCTCCCTCTCTCTCTCTGCACCATGTAACAGATTCATCTATTGAGAGACTGATCACTCACCTATGTATATTTCTATACTTTGTGGGATCTCTGCTTTTTTCTACTTGAAAGTAAACCTTTAGATCAGACCTAAACTAAAGGATCTTTTCAGGATTACAGTTTTCACACTTATCTAAGATAGTGCTTCTCACTTTTTCTATGTAGAAGAAAGTCTTTTTGTCTCTTTTCTCCAACCCATTGCAGATATGAATTCTACAATTTATAAACAAAATTAATTATTTAGGCCAGGAGTGGGTGCACATTCTAGTAATCCCAGCACTATAGGAGAATGAGGCAGGAGGACTGCAAGTGTGAGCCTTGCCTAGACAATTTAGGGACTTAGCAAGATGCTGTCTCAAAATACAAAACAAAAATGAATTATTTAGAAAAATGAAATTTAAAATTACTCTGTCAAATTGTTATAAATGTTTTTAAATGGCTGAGGATGTAACTCAGTGCAAGGGGCCTGAAATCAATCACCAGTACCAAAAAAAAAAAAAAAAGAAAAAAAGAAAAGTTTTAACATTTCTCACAGTGAACCAGCAACAGTTCATACTACACTTAGATTGCTCAAGAGAGTCCACATATTAACAAATGGTAGGTTTTTGAAAATATAAAACTATTATTTAAGAAAAGATAAATGAGAAAGACGATTAAACCAAATCACACATTTTATAGAATGTCACTAATATTTCTGAACTGAAAATGCTAAAAAGTTAAAACTATTATCCCATGTCACTTTCTTGTCTCAGACTTAGCCTAAGCTTCAACAAAATTTCCACAAACAATATAGAAGCCTTAGAAATTGTGGATCTTATCATAGAAGATTTCAAAAACTTCATTATATGGGGTTATTTTTTCTGGATTTAAACTTGGAAAGGATATTCCTAAAAGTCTAGGAGTTCATACTGATGAAAATGGTAAGCATTTAACCAAGTGTCAAATTTAATATATCCCATCGTCTACTCTCATTGCCCTCTATGATGAAGCATTTAAAAACAAAATTAAGGGCCAGGGATTTAGCTGAGTGCTTCCACCGCCTGCCTCGCAAGTGCAAGGTCCCGAATTCGATCCCCAGTACCAAAAAAAGCAAAAAAGCAAAAAAAATCAAAATCAATATGTTACCAGTGCTAAATCAGAATTTTTAGTCACAGAAGTGTATCATTCAAGATGTTTTAGATAGAATATACACACAAACTGGATTATCATGGAGCTTTAAAGTAATATAGTATCTATATTGATTAATCTATAGAAGTTACAAAGCCAGATGCATATTTACTCATCTATTTTTTCATATTTTTGTTTGTAAGCTAGGCAAATGGTATTAATCAAGTTTTCAGTGAGTTTTACTGAGAAGATCAACTAAATGTAGGTAGCTAGTTTCCTTTTTTATAGTCAAAATCTTGTGAAAAAGAGAAAATATCAAAGGGATAATTGTGAGTGATGATCTTACCACAACCAAGAGAACTATATCAGTCACTTCCAGGAAACTATTTCTCAATCTTTTTGGTCTCAAGAATCTTTTAAAATCTTAAAAAATTATTAGAAACTCCTATATGTTGGTTACATCTATTGAAATACTGTTTTGTTTGTATGAGTTACATCTATAGATATTTACTGTATTAGAAATTGGAACAGAAAAAAATAAATATGTATCAATTCATTAAAAACACACCTGCTACATGTGAAGATAAATATTTTATAAAGATAACTATATTTTCCCAACTAAAAAAGTTAATGAAAAGAGTGACACTGATTACCATTTTTGCAAATCTCTACAATCTGATTTAATAAGAGAAGATACATGGGTTCTCATATCTACCTCTATAATTAACCAATTACAATTAAGTTGATTTGCTTGAAGTACAAGTAGTAATATCAGGCCTCACAAGACATAATTTGTAAAATGGAAAAAAATTTGATATCCTTGTCACATAAATACTCTGAAGACACACTAGGATTTGACAAATGTCAGTTTCTTAAAAGTCTGTAGAAATGAAGAATCTGGAACCATATCCATTAACTGTCTGCATTTGGATACACAAAAAATCCAGTGGTCTACCTTGCATTTTGAGTGGATTTTGCACTTGTGCCTGATTTAATTATATCATGCATCAGTCAAGACAAAATATTGATTAAATTAGTTATATTGATCTTCCAAATAGTGCCTCAGCAATCTTACCAGAAAAAAATTTTCAATTATTAAGCTCAAGGTGACACAAAAATTTCTAACATTTCAATTTTTCCTTGAAAATTCTAATTATATCATTGACAAAAATATTGCTAGTTGTTCTTTTCTATTAAGTAACAGGCTCACTTCTTTCATTTTGCAAAAACATGTACCAAATACCCAAATTTATGTAACCATTGTTGGCCAGCTACTGTTTCAAGTAAAAATGGTGAGCCATGAAAAAACAGGCTAATCCAGCTGACAACTCAACTCCACAAGTGTTCTGCCTTCAGATAACCAGTTAATTTTGGGTACACCTAAAGTGCTTCATGAGACAGGAGGGAGGGGAGGGGAAGGGGAAGTAAATAGGAGCAAGATGTGATATGTATTTGTACCAATATCACACAATGAATATATTCATTATGTATTACAAAACTATACTAATGAGCCGGGCGTGGTGGTGTACACCTGTAATCCCAGCACTCCGGAGTTTGAGGCAGGAGGATCACCATGAGTTCAAGACAATCCTGGAATACATAGTGAGTTCAAGGCCAGCTTGAACCATATAAGGAGACCCTGTCTCAAAAAAGAAAAAAGAAACTATTCTAATAAAAATTTTAAAGGGCAATATTAAAAAGTATATTTAAGGATTGAGATTTAATAAATTAAATAACTATTAATGTTTCATCAAGAATATTCTTAAATTCCCTCATCCCAGAAAGAATGGCTGTTATCAAGAAATCAACCAATAACAACTGCTGGTAGGGTTGTGGGGAAAAAGGAACCCTTCTCCCTTGTTGGTGGGAGTGCAGACTGGTGCAACCTCTGTGGAAATCAGTATGGAGATACCTCAAAGAACTAGGGCTAGAGGTCCCATTTGACTCAGCTATTCCCCTGCTGGGTATCTTCCCAAAAGAATTAAAAGAATCATACCACACCGATATATGTGCACCCATGTTTACAGTGGCACAGTTTGTAATACCCAAAGCATGGAAACATCCCAAGTGCCCATCAACTGGAAACTGGATAAAGAAGATGTGCTTTTTTTATAAAATGGAGTACTACTCAG